CATCATCATCATCATCATCATCATCATCATCATCATCATCATCATCATCATCAATGTCATCATCATCATTGTTCACATCTTAAACTAGGGCCACAGACAAACATATTCCACTTTTTACACTAACAAACCATATTATATCACAGGCGTCTGTTGCTTGGCAGTTAGTTGCGCAAGCAAGAGACCCAAGTTTGATTCCCGAGTGGGTAGAAAACTTTTAAGGAGTATCTCTGTCATTCTGTTGAGGCGATGCAAAAGTATCCCTCTTAGTCCGAGTTGGGCCTGACAGGCAGGGTCGGAAGCCCCCTTCCTTAATGATCTAATGTGGGCCGATGGGGGCGTGATGGGGGCGTAAAACCACTTACATTTAAAAAAGAAACAATAGATCCTTTAAATTGTGAAAATGCAGACTACCCTCTTGTGCTTAAAAACGTACAATAATACAAATCCAGTACACAGAGATTCAGATTACTATACTAACGTTATACAAAACCAGGGCATGGAATTCCATAGTTTTCTCATTAGCAAAATGGGGATACAGGGCAAATACACAAATTGTGAGCAGCTTTTTTTTTTTGGCTGGCCCACGATGGTGGGACCTGGTTGCTAGGCAACGGTGTCACGTGATGGTGTGTGGATGTCGTTGTCCAAAAGAGCCGATCCCTGTGGCACTGTAGGGTTACAAAAATGACGACGTCACGCCAGACTTCCAGGTTCGAAACCAAATCGAGTAGTTTTGAGCTGTTGTTTTTTGTTTTGTTCTTTCTTTTTGTTGGTTTTTGTTGTTGTTGTGGGTTTGTTGTTGTTGTTTTTTTAGTTTGTGCTTGGTTTTTAAATGAGGGGGGTTGTATATGTTTTTGTTTGTTTTGATTTTTCTTTTTGATTTTTCTGCGTTTTGTTTTGTTTCGTTTTATATTTTTGTTTGTTTTTATTGTTGTTATTTTGTTTTGTTTGTTTGTTTGTTTTATTGGGTGTTTTAATTTAATTTTTATTTTTTTTGGGGGGAGGGGGGGTAATCAAACGGCTAAACATTTCACACGTGTCTATGGTATCTTTTAACGATTGGGTGCTTCGTCAACTCAGACACGAGACATGAGTTCGATTCCCATGTAAAGAGAATTTTTATCGAGTATCTTCATCTTCTTACTGGGACTTTGCATCCCTTCCAGTTCGGGGTCGCCCTGACAGGCAGGGTCGAAGCCTCCCGCCTCCTCAGTGATCTGAGAAGTATCGATGGGCTCGTAAAACTTCTAAAGATACACTTTTAAAGGAATATTTCTTTTTAGACGAGAAATTCAAGTAACAGTCTCTAATTGTAATTATAAATGTTCTGACGTCTCCCGACACCCACAATTTAGATCAATTAGAAGTTAGGAGATCCTGCCTGTCAGGGCAGTACCGTC